AGTTAGCTATTCTGACGGACTAAGACAAAATCAACCCCCAAAGGCTGCTCATTTACAGAAGCAATTCTCATCATTCATATTAGTGAATGAATAGCCACCAGGTGTGAGGAGACATTTCTAACGGAAAACACTCTACCTTGGAAAGATCCTTGCACAGAAAAAAGAAGTTGGGCGCTCTGACAGTTGGCTCAGAGATTTCCACAGGTGGTTGGTTACTCGGGAGATTATCTGTGTGAGAAAATGGCCCTAGTTCACCGTGTACCTCTGCCAGCTGCCTTCCCAGCTTGCTTTGGGCTGTTCTCAGAAGCCCAAGCCTTTGTCCATTCACTTAGCTCTCTGTAAGCCTTATCTGTTTAGACCTCCTTAATGGGGGAGGGGGGAGGGGGGGTGCATGGGTGTGTGGCGTTCTATGGGTAGGCACTTAATAAATGTCTTTCTTTTCCCCTCTCTCTTGTCAACCTGTCTATTGCCAGTCTATTTCAGACTAAATTATCAAATTGTCACAGGGCAAAGAATAAACTGAAAACATCCCAAACGAAACCATCTGTGCTGGAAGAAAAATAGCACTCATACAACAGGACACCCAAAGCCATGGGTGATTTTATGAAAGAAAGGAAGAAAGGAAGGAAGGAAGGAGGGAAGAAGAGAGGGAGAGAGGGAGGGGAAGAGGGAGGAGAAAGAATGAGAAAGAAAAAAAAGACAAGACACAATATCTTTCAACACAAGCTAACAGCACTGACCTGTGACCCCAACACGCTGAGGATATTAGAGAAATGTGATGTTAGCAATGATTTTAAAGCCCTCTTTAACTCTGTCCCATCCCCAACTGAGGTGTGCATGGCCTTCAACACTTATTCCCTCAGGTATCCACCCAACAGGGCTCATCAATCTCATCATACCATTCTGGGAGCCGAAAATCAGTTTTTCGGACAACAATGGCAAATATAATCTTCTGTCAACCATGTAAACCCGGCTTGCTTGAGGAAAATCCAAAAATGGAGCTAAACTAGAGAGAAATCATCTGAGTTTGAACCAGGACAAGTATTTACGTTATGTTAATGTCGGGTCCAAATCCTGGCAGTTAGCCAAAGCCAGCACTTCTCAGAATTCTGGTTCACCTCTACCAAAGGAGCCCTTTCTTCATCTCTGGCAGAGGGGACAAATGCTATCTGTGGTGCCTGCCCATTAGCACACCAGAGCTCCTACTGGTCTCCAGGCTCCCTCAGTGTCACAAGTACCTGTTTCACATTTCAGGGTCCAAGCTGGCATCCCGACTCTTCTCACCGGCCCCCTCCCCTAAACTTCACAGGCTCACAGGCTTCCCTCCCCGCCCTCAGCTTAGAATTCCCTTATAACGCCTCCCCTCCATGCCTGCCATGTGCTCTCTTGTCCCTCTCTCGGTCAACTCTTTCTCTTCCTCTCTCGCTCTCCCCCCCCCCCCCATGGCCAAGTCTAGTCTTCAGGCCACATTCAGTCTACTGCTTTCTCTCCCTGCTCTGGACTCTTCCAGATGCCTCTGGTGTCCCCTCCCTCCAGTCTACAGTAAAAACCCCAGCCATACCTGGGAACAGTCATGTCCTCCATTTACACAGTTATCTTCAGCAGTGCACAGCCTCCTTTTCAATACATAGGCCTCAACTGGTTTCCACCACCACCATCGCTGAGGCTGGCTGGTTTGTTCAGTTGGCTGGTTTGGAGGGTGTATTTAAAGACAGAGTCTCACACTGTGGCCTAGGATGGCCTCGAACTTAATTGTGTAGGTCAAGCTGAACTCGCACAGATCCCTTTGCCTCAGCTGCCTGAGTACTGGGCTGACAGGTACAAGCCAATGCACCAGCATTTTATTAAGGAGGTTTGTGTAGCTCTCTGTTTTGGAGGCTGGTTGTCTAAACAGCGTAGTGCTCACTCAGGTGAGACTCACAACAAATGACATCATGGTGAGACCAAAATAAAACAAAAGAGACTTCAAGCCCAATGGCATACACAGGATCTCAGCACTAGGAAGCTGAGGCAGGGGAAGGGCCACGCGTTTGAGGAAAAAAAAAATCCCAGGCTAGGTGAAATAAGATGGGAAAAGGTGGGTAGAGATGATGTAGCCCGGGGTTTGACCCCTAACCCTGAATAAACGGGGCATGGGGGCAAAAACCTGTAATCCCAGCACTCAGGAGGTAGAGGGGTGGGGGTGGGGGGGCTGGGGGAGTCAGAAGTTCAAGGTCTTCTTGGCTACATAGTGACTATGAAGCCAGCCTGGGCTACATGAGACCTTGTCTCGATATTAGAGAAAGAGAGAGATCACATGGTAAGGCAGGGATGAGGGAGGAATAGAGCCCAGTCATTCTCAGTGGAAATACCTGGAGGCCCCAAAGAGTTCATTTCTTTCTGAGCCAATGGCTGCACCATTTAAAGGTCCCTATCTCTTAGCATCACTGCATCTGCACATGAACTCCGGGGACAGCCACATCCAAACCACAGCACCCTGTGTACACATTATCTTTTCCCAGCGTGTGTGTGTAACACTGCGTTGTGGCTGATTTTTTTTTACTTGCCACACTTCAGCAAGTTGTAGGGATAGGAGCTTGTGTCTGATTCTAACCAGTGACCCAGACCAGGGAATAGGGGTGGGGATTAAAAGTACCTGAAGCTCCCCTTGCCCCATGGGTTGCAAGACAGCCTAGAGCAAATGGCTCCACAGCTCCCAGGAGGGACTGCACGTGTACAGTGACCCGACGGGACCCGTTTATAGCCCTGGGTACATCTGGGTGAGGCAAGGGAGGGACATTTCCTCAGCGGGTGTGGCCATCTGATAATGTTTGACCATCACACCAGTTTACTCGAGAGGGAGGCCCCAGCTTAGCTGGGTGTGGGTTGAGCTCTTGCAGAGAACAGGAGGGCAGGTACGGGGCTACTCAGCGCCTGCATACATAACCTACACTCAGCTCCTGCATACATAACCTATCATTTCTTCCACAGCTTACATTACTTGAAGCCGCCCAGGTTCTTACTCATCAGCGCCTTCATTTAAATCCAACCGATTGCACTTTGGCCACGGTGTGCAACTTAGGAACCAAGTCTTCAGCTCGCTCAAGAGGAGTCTGGTGCCATAGCGAGCAAGCCTCCTGAGAAGCCAAGTTTGAGGCCCTCCTCAGAGGGGAATTTTCTCTGGAACCATATTGCAGGATAATTTGTACTAATCATCTCTTAATCCCATTACTGAAGTTCACCAAATTTTATCAGTTGCTCCCCACCCCACCCCACCCCCCCCCACCCCCCGCAACCCTCTGGAATACAAACAAAAAAACAAAAACCGTATTATCCATTTCCCTCCTCTAACAGCCCCTGCAGCGAACAGCCTGGTTACTAAATGTTTGTGCACCTGCTTTCTTATGGCCTTAGGGTAAACATCTGAGGTGAATGTCGACTCCAAGGAGAGATACATTTTTATGGCTTTTGAAATAAAATCGCTCCCTCAAAGAAAGAGCTATTTTGGTTCCCACAAGTCTTGAGTGGAAGTATTTATTTCCCTATAATTGTCGCTTTGTTGAGTACTGCAATAAAATAAAATTGCTAATATGATAGACGAATAAGTAAGTTACCTCTTTCTATGGATTCCTTTATTGCCACTGGGGCTATAGCTAGTTTGATGTCTGTGTGCCATGTACTTTTTATGTGAATTAGTTGTTCATGTCGTTTTTGAGTATTTTTCATACAGCAATTAACATCCCATTTGTTTATATTTTGCAAAGAATGGGCTTTTTAAAAAATTTAAGTAAGTGTGTGTGTGTGTGTGTGTGAGTGCAGGAGCCCTTGGAGTCAGAAAGGCGCATCAGATGCCCTGGAGCTGGAGTTACAGGTGGTTATGAGCCGCCTAATGTGTGCACTGGGAACTAAACTCAGGTCTTCTAAGAAAGAAGCTCTTGATCTTAACCTCTGAGCCATCTCTCCAAGCCCAGAATGAGCTTTTATAACTTATACACTATGTCTGACAGTTTTTGTCTTATTTGCCCTGTAAATCATACATAGTATTCCTTTCCCTGTGGGTTGCCTTTACAACTAATCAAATGTCTAAAAGACTACACTATTTTGGCAGATGGTCCCTGAGGCATAGCGGTTACAGGGTTTTAGCCACACAATACACCGCACCTTCTCACACACACTCAATGCTCAGGATCAAGCCTAGGGTCTCACATATTCCAAAACCTCTTTTTATTCTTTAGATGGTGCTCAAAACAAAACACATCATAATATGCTTGTATGGAGATGTGTGTGTGCATAGTTAATATTCATATTCTATAATAGAAGTATTTGTTTACAAAACAGAACTATCCGTAATATCTGCCTTCTATGTAGATATTTTTCCTTCTTGGGCTAGTTGATAAAAATTAAATTGAGTCTATAAATCATTGATAAAACCCAACCCACAGTTGAAGAAGCACCTTAATAATTTAATTGAAAATGCTATGGATCCAGAAAAGAGACACTATTACATACCTTTCCCTAGAAGTCTCCAGGGTGTGGTTAGTCAAGATTAATGGTGTGGAGCTGTAGAGATGGCTCAGTGGTTAAGAGCACTGGCTGTTCTTCCAGAGGACCCAGGTTCAATTCCCAGCACCCACATGGCAGCTCACAACTGTCTACAACTCTGGTTCCAGGGGATCTGGCACCCTCACACAGATACACATGCAGGCAAAACACCAATGCTCATAAAAATAAATTATTAAATCTTAAAAAAAAAAAAAGACTAAGCGGTGTTATGATCATAGCATTTTTTAGTGTGACTGGGTTTTTCTGTGTAGCCCTGGCTGTCCTGGATCTCACTCTGTAGACCAGGCTGGCTTCAAACTCACAGAGATCTGCCTGCCTCCACCTCCTGAGTGCTGGGATTAAAGGCATGTGCCACCACTGCCCGGCTACATTCCTTTTTTCATCTAGTGCTCATGACTTTTCTAGAAGGTGGAAGTATATTACTGGTGAAATTATTAAGGCCACTCCACGTAGTTAAAGGGAGGTTTATTTAGTGGCGTAGCTTACAAAGGAAGGGATAGGTAGGTTGTGGGTTCTGGGAAAGACGTAGCGCAGTCCGGCGGTGTTCTCTGGAAAACTCCCCTTGGTCTACCTCTAGTGTCCAGGGTCCAAGAAAACAACAAAGCGCGGTGCATCCGGATCTTGGGTCTTCAGGGCCCTCTCTTGGCCCCGCCTTGTACGCGTGATAGTTACCGAAGCCTCAATAGGGGTTGGAACTTCCAGACCAATGGCTACCCACTACAGTATATTGCTATTTTTATTTGACAGATATGAAAAAGTGAGTCGGGGCATTAAGAGGTCTTCACACCTGGAGCTGTGAAGATTGCTTTGTTAGTAAAAGTACTTGTGTTGCAAGCACAAGGTTCCGAGTTCGATCTTCAGAGCCTACAAAGTGGCATCTGCTTGTGTTCTCAGACTGGGATGGCAGGGGTAAGCAGATCTCTAGGGCTGCCTGGCCAGGCACACTCGCCTAGCAGGCAAGCTCCAGGCCAACGAAAGATTCTATCTAAAGAAAAAGAAAAAGGTGAGTGAGAGATGTGAAACAACAAATAAGATTGAACCCTGGTAGTCACAGGTATACACGCACATGCATATACTACCAGCGCACACATGATCAGGCATGGCACACATCAGCACACACATGATCAGGCATGGCACACACCAGCACACACGTGAACAGGCATGCACACACCAACAAGTAAAATAAAGTTGAAAAGAATAGGACAGCAGCAAATACTACTCCAGACGAAACCTGTGTCCTGTCTTTGAGCTGAGGCACACTGGCCTGCTGCCCTGGGCTTCAAAGAGTCGAGGCCCTTCAAGCAGAATCTCACAGAACTTGGGAGATTTCCCTAGTCACTGGCTTCCAACCTCTTTTTCTTTTCTTTGATGCTGTATTATCTCTGGGGAAGTCAGCCCGAGCCTGCTGCTCGAGAAGTGGATGGTGGCTGGGTCTTCATCCCGAAAAGGGCACCGTCAAAGAGGCAGGAAGTCCTCTCATGCCGCTCTTTAGAAAGAACTCCCCCAGCAGCTCACTTAATCACATCATAACCAGGAAGTCCTCTTTGAGATCTAATCTACATCCATATGGCAGCAACTTATAAATAAACTTTAACCTCCCACCCCATAACTAGAGGGCTGGATGCCCAAGGACAAGGTAAAACTGTAATTGAGTGCACACCAAACACAGCCAAGGGAGGGAATGGCTCATTTGCATGTGAACCATTGGAATCCTCAGCTAAAAGGCGCCACATGTTAGAAAACCTCTCTCTCTCTCTCTTTTTTTTTTTAATAACAAATTAGTCCCATAATTAAACTCCCGCTAACAGTAGCTGCAAAGACTCCATAATTCTTATTCGGAGAAGAAAACCTCAATGTTTCTGCTTTTGTTTTTAGAGAGAGAGATGTACACTGCGCTTTATCTAAAGACAAGAGGCCCCGAGCTCCTGCTGGGGCAAATTAGGAACAATACTGAGCAGAATCGGAATTCAAATTCTCTGCACGGGGGGGGGGGGGGGTGGGGGGGGGTGGGGGGGGTGGGGGGGGGTGGGGGGGGTGGGGGGGGTGGGGGGGGGTGGGGGGGGGTGGGGGGGGGGGGGGGTGGGGGGGTGGAGAGGGGCGCTTGCAAGGTTGCATATTAACTCTCTGACCTCCTCTAGATAGCCAGGTGACAGCTGCAGGGTGGTTTCTTTGAAGGGTGGCATTCTGGGGCGGCACTTCAGAAAGCACAGGCCTCTAAGGCAGGTAGGTATGTTTGCTGGACACACCTGGTCCCTGCCAACCACAGAGCAGCAGATGGAGGGCAGGAGATGCCTAAGCCAGTGAGTGGGTCTCCAACTTCCTAACGCTGGGACCTTTTACTACACAGTTCCTTCTTTATGTGGTGGTGAGCCCCCAACCATAAAGTTATTTCGTTGCTACTTCGTAATCCTAATTTTGCTGCTGTTGTGAATTGTGACGTAAATATTTTTGGAGATAGAGGTTTGTCGAGAAGGTCATGACCCACAGGTTGAGAACCACTGGTCTAAGCGAAAGGGCTGTCTAATGAGGTATGACTAACTGGCATCACTTCAAGAGATGAGTTAAGTGTGTCAAAATATGTTCTTTTTGAAGGAAAAAGAAATCTCCTCTACTAAGGCTCTTCACAGCACAGATGCGTCGTGGGGGGCACTTTGGCAAGTGCCCTGTGTGAAAAGTCAAATCCCATTCACACGAGCAAGAGGTGTGACAGCTGTTTTTTAACCGGCTGTTAACACAGACTTGGTTAAAAGTAACAGGTGAGTAGAAAGTTAGGGATCCATGTTCTGTTGTAAATGGAAATGTAAGCCACCATAAGAACGGATACTAACCAACCAAAGGGACCACACAGAGGTCAGACACGGAACGCAAGGAATCCTGGCCTCCATCCAAGTTGGCTAGACAGCACTCACGCCATACCTTACACCCATGACATCGCCGGTCCGTACTATATCTGTGTGGGGGTCAGGAAGTGAATAAGACGACATGGTCCTCAAGGATTTATGGTGATCCAGACACCCAGCTGTGACCCTCTTTACCCAGCATTTGCCTCTAACCAAAAAAAAAATTGTTTGGTTCGAATCAGAGTCTGCTAACTGTGAGACATTGAGCAAATAAATGTCATGTCTCTGCCTCAGTTCCACCCTCCAAAAGGAGCTACGTGGATTAAGTAAGTGAACACATGCACGGTGACTGGGCTAGTGTCCAGCCCTTAGCAACAGCTCAACAAATATTAGCTAATACTGTGACTCCTTATTGCAAAGGAAGAAGGTAACCGGAGGAGAAGGGGCCTGCAAAACCCACAGTCCCACCCAGCCCCATGGACCACATTGACTGTCGGTGAACTGTATCTGTACTCTTAACTCATTTGTTTCTGGAGGAAGAGCAGCCCTGTGCCAGGTGTTTGTGGTCTGGGGAGAAACGCCCCTGCAGTGCAGAACCAGAGTCCCTGCTGCGTTTTTTTCCATAGCATCTGGAGGGGAACACAGGCCAGCAGACCTCACCCAGCTGAAGCTCAGCAGCCAGCAGGAAAAGTCCTCAGTTTAACTTACCGCTTCCTCCCAACAGCCCAACAGCCCGCATGCCATTTGGATTGCTCAGCTCCTGAGTTTCTTGCAGGGATTAAGTGAGAGGCTGAATGTCCCACCTGAGAATAGTAACCATAGTAACCCATGCATAGGGAAGGCGCCAACATGGCGGCTCTTACTGTGTTTAGCTGGAACCATGGTCTGGAATAGCACAGGACTACTTTCCATGGACACATCCATTCCTGTCATTGAGCTAGCCCTTCTACACTATGCAAGATTTAACTGTACTGCACAGCCTTGAATTTCACATGCATGTCACAGTGTTAGGAAGAGCACAGAGAATGGGTTTTGATGTTGACTTTGCAACTTACTATGTTACTTAACCTCTGTAAATCTCAGTGTTCTCATCTCTAGAAAGAAGGAAGGGATTGGGAAAGTAATATATACTGTGTTTATTTTTGTAAATATTGATATGTACTGTTTTAAGTGATGTACATGTGTATATGCCTTCATGTGGGTATGTGTTTATGAGAGCAGGCATCTACGGAGGCCAGAAGTATCTGATCTCCTGAAGATAGAGTCATAGACAGTTGTGAGCTGCCTGATGTGGGTGCTGGGAATCAAACTCAGATCCTCTGGAAAAGCACCAAGTATTCCTCTTTATTTATTTTTATTTATGTGCATTGGTGTTTTGCCTGCATGTATGTCTGTGTGAGGGTATCCAATCTTGGAGTTACAGACAGTTGCCATGTGGGTTCTGGGAATGGAACTCCAGTCCTCTGGAAGAACAGTTAGTGCTCTTAAACTGCTGAGCCATCTCTCCAATTATAGTACCTAGTTCAATGTCTAATTTACCATTATTAACGTGACGTTTGTGGTACCAACTTTACCTATTCTCCTTTCATACATCTTCAGAATCCCATTTAACATTGGCATTTTTCTCGGAAAAAGTAATCCCACACAGGAAACAGCGTATGTGGTGGTTTGAATAATGGCCCCCACTAGGCTCATATACTTGAATGCTTAGGGAGTGGCACTCTTTGAAAGGATTAGGAGGTATGGTCTTGTTGGAGGAAGTGTGTCACTGGGGAGGGGAAGGGTTGGATTTTGAGATCTCAAGAGTCCATTCCAAATCCAGAGAGTCTCTCTTCCTGTTGCCTGCAGATCCAGATGTAGGACTCACAGCTACCTCTCCAACACCATGTCTGTCTGCGTTCAGCCATGCTTCCTGCCCTAACAATAATGGACTAAAGCTCTGAAACTGTAAGCCAGAGAGCTGTAAACTGTAAACACCACAGAGCTGGCTGGCTCCAGACGGCATGGAGAAAGCAGGAATTAACTTTAACTATCATCCTCTCTGTCTTAGTCAGTGTCCTATTGCTGTGAAGAGACCCCAGACCACAACATCTCTTATAAAAGAAAGCATTTAATTGGGGCTTGCTTACAGTTTCAGGCAGTTAGTCCATTGTCATCATGGCAGGGAGCATGTCAGCACACAGGCAGACATGGTAGCTGAGAGGTCTACATCCAGATCCAAAGGCAACAGGAAGAGAAAGACACAGAGCCTGACCTGGGCCCTTAAACCTCAAAGCCCACCTCCAGTGACACACTTCTTCCCAAGGCTACACTTCCTCCGACAAGACCACACCTGCTCCAACAAGACCACACCTGCTCCAACAGGGTCACACCTCCCAATCCCTCTCAAGTACTGCCACTCTCTAATGACCAAGCATTCAAATATATGAGCCTATGGGGGGCCATCCCTATTCAAACCACCACATTTCCCTTCCTCCCAACACCTCCTCATCACTTTCTTTGTTCTCATTATTAACCAGGCAACATCCTGGGGAGCTATAATTCATGTTTGTAGGTACATGTACATACGCACATGTGCTTATACACACATACACACCTGATTCTTGGATTTAACACTCATTTTGCTATTTCCAAAACTTTTAAAATCTATTTCTGACAGTTTCATACATGGATAGAACGTATCCTACATTTAGACACCCCGACTCTCCCCTCTCACTCCCTTCAGACTCCTAACCCATGCCCGCTGCACCATCATGTCCTCTACTTCTAACTCACTGAGTCCAATTAGTGCTGCCTACAAGCATCCTTTCCTTATGTGGGTTGGTATATGTGGTAGAGATGTACTGAGCTCTGAAACCAGGTGCACCTGTGACCTCCCCAAGGCCAATCTCCAAATTGACAGTGTTGCTAAGACTCCACCCCAATCGTGTCTACCTTCTTAGCCAGGACCAAGGCATGTATAGTCTCTCATATAATCTTCATCCCTGCCCACAGGCTTCTCTCTCACAATTCTCTGTTGATTCTCTCAACAGAGATCAACACAAGGATCGATACAAGCTTTAATCACCTCTTCTCCCTCACTATCAACTCTGGATAATGGTGTAAACCCTCCCCAATGCCTTTAGGGAGCACTATGCTAAGGGTA